CTTTCTCTTTTTGCATTGCAGTCTCTGTTTACCTTACTGCGTGCGTTTGCTCTCTTTCTGTGTGCAATCTCTCTATCTCTCCATCTTTCTTTGCAATCTTGCTCTCCATTTTTCTGTCTCTGTGTGGGATCTCTCTGTGTGCGATTCTTTGTGTGATTTCTTTTTCTGTGTGCAGTCTCTTTCTGTGGGCAATCTCTATGTTTCCATCTTTCATTACAATCTCTCTCTGTGTGCAATTTCTCTTTCTTTCTGTGTGCAATCTCTGAGTACGACCTCTCTCCATTTCTCTGGGTGTCCTATCTCCTTCTTTCTCCCTCTGTCCATGGCTCTGTCTTCATGGCCGCTTGCTGTAATTCCCTGTAATCCCCCATCTCTGTGGGATGTCTTGCACTGCAGCCTGTCGCTGTGCCAACGGGTGAACCGCAGTGCCAGCAGTGCCAGCCTGCTGCCACCAGCCACGTGCACCCCACATCCTGCACCCCGCACCCTGCACCCTGCACCCCACCTCCACCGTAGACCCCATCTCCTGACACCCAGAGGCAGGGCCGGGGGGACACAGACTCTCCAGAGTGCTTTATTAGTTGGCCTCTTTTGACTGGTGACGCTTCCTACCAGTGGCTGTTCCACAAGGGATTGTAAGATCCGGGTTTTTTCAGACATGTTGCTCAGATTCTTACCTGCTAGTGTCATGGCTGACAAAGATCGGATTTCGTTCCTGGGATCCCAGCTGAATCGTAGCGTTTCTCCTTTTGGCAGTCTGTCCTTCCACTGGGAAGAGGCTGTAAGCACCAGCAGTATGGTCAGTAAGGCATCCGTCACTGGTCTCTTGCTCCCCTTCTTCTGGGACTCCAGCCTGACGTACACAGTGACCACTCTGTCCAGTCTGTGATCCCTGTGACCCTGTCCCAGCCCGAGACACACAGTGACCACTCTGTCCAGTCTGTGAATTTTGTCCCAACCTGAGATACTTATTAACCACTCTGTCCTGTCTGTGGCACCTGTCACAGCCTGAGACACACACTGACCACTCTGTCCAGTCTGTGGCACCTGTCACAGCCTGAGACACACACTGACCACTCTGT